CCTATGCCCACACAACCCACGATCACGCACTCACCTCGAAGAATCGAAATGAAAGGAATGAACCGACATTCACTACAACCCTCGTACACGACGAACCACTGGTCCAATTCCAAAAAAAGTAACTGTTCTGGAAACTAGACACACACAGCTACGCGTCGGTATGAGGATCGCCTCCAGACTCCCTCTGGTTCGATCGAAATTCTCCTCTGAACCCGACTGATCGCAGACTCGTAACAGCACCAACCTCACACATTCAAACGACCATAACTCAGCGAATACTTAACCAAAACACACGCGGTTTTCACCCACGTCAAGAGAAGATATAGGAGAACTTACCCTCAAAGTTTTCCACCAATCCGAGTTGATATTCTCCGTCTTTTTCCCCCTCTAAAACCGACGGCAAAACCTCCAAAATCTCTCAAAACTCTCTCAATCCTAGTTTTCTCTCAAAAGTGGCCAAAGGAAACTGAGAAAGACGGCCCCTGACCTTAAATACATGAACCCTAGGGTTCCTAACCGGTCCAACTCAAAACAAACCAGAAATCAACACCCTAGGTCTAATTAACGACTTGCGTCGCTCGACGCACCTCCCTTGCTTCGGTCGACGCAACACCCAGAAACCGACTCCTCGCGAGTCCAAATTCGTGTGTCGATCGACGCACTCACTCCCCTGCGTCGATCGACGCACCACCAAAAATCACATTTTTGGTTCACGGGCGTTACAAAGATGGTACAACCGACCTGATCGAACTACAAGGGAACCATCGAAGTATCTCAACTATACATACAGAGCTCCACAATCTCATCAGAGCAATGCAATGCTTGCTCCGGAAAAGACGGTTCTGCTCCCTACTTATCACAGATTCAACAGAGTTAGTGAAGATGGTGACTTCGCCACATGATTGGCCAGGATTCCAATCGGAATTGCGTGATTTGGCAGTTTTCGGGGAAACTTTTCCCAAATTCGACCTTATCTACGGTAACGGGAGGGTAATAAGAGAGTGAATTTGCTTGCAAAGACGACGCGCATGCGAGAGACTATTTTTTTCGTTTATTGGCACTTTAATTCCTTATTGGTTCTCGGATACAGAAAATATATTTTTTTAATCGAAAATAAAATGCGTTCGTGACAAAAAAAAACTTGATTAGCCGATTAAAGAGTTTTCTCTTCATCGAGAATGTCTAAATCATCAAACAAAAAGGTTTATACTAAAAATTTATAGTAAATCATTTATATTTAT